AGAGATCCTGTGGACATCAGAGAGATCCTGTGGACATCAGAGAGCTCCTATGGATATCAGAGAGATCCTGTGGACATCAGAGAGATCCTGTGGACATCAGATAGATCCTGTGAACATCAGAGAGGTCCTGTGGACATCAGATAGATCCTGTGAACATCAGAGGGGTCCTGTGGACATCAGAGAGATCCTGTGAGCATCAGAGAGGTCCTGTGGACATCAGAGAGGTCCTGTGGACATCAGAGAGATCCTGTGAACATCAGAGAGGTCCTGTGGACATCAGAGAGGTCCTGTGGACATCAGAGAGATCCTGTGAACATCAGAGAGGTCCTGTAGACATCAGAGAGATCCTGTGAACATCACATAGGTCCTGTGGACATCAGAGAGGTCCTGTGGACATCAGAGAGATCCTGTAAACATCAGAGAGGTCCTGTGGACATCAGAGAGGTCCTGTGGACATCAGAGAGATCCTGTGAACATCAGAGAGGTCCTGTAGACATCAGAGAGATCCTGTGAACATCACATAGGTCCTGTGGACATCAGAGAGGTCCTGTGGACATCAGTGAGCTCCTGTGGACATCAGAGAGGTCCTGTGGACATCAGAGAGGTCCTGTGGACATCAGAGAGATCCTGTGAACATCAGAGAGGTCCTGTAGACATCAGAGAGATCCTGTGAACATCACATAGGTCCTGTGGACATCAGAGAGGTCCTGTGGACATCAGTGAGCTCCTGTGGACATCAGAGAGATCCTGTGGACATCAGAGAGATCCTGTGAACATCAGAGAGCCCCTGTAAACATCAGAGAGCCCCTGTAAACATCAGAGAGCCCCTGTAAACATCAGAGAGCCCCTGTAAACATCAGAGAGCCCCTGTAAACATCAGAGAGCCCCTGTAAACATCAGAGAGCCCTGTAACATCAGAGAGCCCCTGTAAACATCAGAGAGCCCCTGTAAACATCAGAGAGCCCCTGTAAACATCAGAGAGCCCTGTAAACATCAGAGAGCCCCTGTAAACATCAGAGAGCCCCTGTAAACATCAGAGAGCCCCTGTAAACATCAGAGAGCCCTGTAAACATCAGAGAGCCCCTGTAAACATCAGAGAGCCCCTGTAAACATCAGAGAGCCCCTGTAAACATCAGAGAGCCCCTGTAAACATCAGAGAGCCCTGTAAACATCAGAGAGCCCCTGTAAACATCAGAGAGCCCTGTAAACATCAGAGAGCCCTGTAAACATCAGAGAGCCCCTGTAAACATCAGAGAGCCCCTGTAAACATCAGAGAGCCCCTGTAAACATCAGAGAGCCCCTGTAAACATCAGAGAGCCCCTGTAAACATCAGAGAGCCCCTGTAAACATCAGAGAGCCCCTGTAAACATCAGAGAGCCCTGTAAACATCAGAGAGCCCCTGTAAACATCAGAGAGCCCTGTAAACATCAGAGAGCCCCTGTAAACATCAGAGAGCCCCTGTAAACATCAGAGAGCCCCTGTAAACATCAGAGAGCCCCTGTAAACATCAGAGAGCCCCTGTAAACATCAGAGAGCCCCTGTAAACATCAGAGAGCCCCTGTAAACATCAGAGAGCCCCAAACAAATAGTCTCCACACAAATATATATTTGTTTATACAGGTCTATCATAATATTTCTATATTTATGCCTTTCTGACTGTGTGTTTGGTATTGACTGGCTTTGTGTATGTTTGTGTGCGTTCTCACCTAGTTGTGCTTGCGGGGGTTGAGCTCTGGCTCTTTGGTCCCGCCTCTCAACTGTCAATCAACTGGTGTACAGGTTCCTGAGCCTACTGGGCTCTGTCATATCTACATTTGAAACTGTGTGTGGAGTCTGCCTCCACAACTTTCTAATGCATTATATTTGTTAACTACCCCGACACTGAAGAAATTTCTCTGATAATTTTGTAAGTGGTAATCATGTCTCTCCCCCCTGTCTCTTCTGTCTTCCAGTGACGAGAGGTTTAATTCCCTAAAGCCTTTTCCTCGTAACTCATACACTTCAGCTCCGGTGCTAGTTGGGTGGCATACCTCGGATCATTGTGTGTGTGTGGGTTTGTATCTGTGTGTGTGTGGAATGGGGGGGGTAGGGGGGGTATAAATACACAGATTTAGATGGTCAAGCTTCACCTGATTATTACCTCTTGATAAGACTGTAGTCAACATTGGTGGTTAAGTCTTTGTCAGGATACAAATTCAAGGTTTTATTTACATTTCCTCTCTCTCTCTCTGTCTCTCTCTCTCTCTCTCTCTCTGTCTACTCTGTCTCTCTCTCTCTCTCTCTCTCTCTCTCTCTCTCTCTCTCTCTCTCTCTCTCTCTCTCTCTCTCTCTCTCTCTCTCTCTCTCTCTCTCTCTCTCTCTCTCTCCCCGTTAAGTTGAAACGCACTCCTCCCCTCCCCTTCCACCAACACACACACACACACACACACACACACACACACACCTTTGAAAGCATTGAATGAGTGGGCGGAGAATCCGAGGAAGCATGCAGCCACTATACTAGTAGTGACCTTGTGAGCGGGCGTCCCTACCATGTATGGGCACCTCACCATCACCTCCACACACATCAACCCCTCACCCCCCTCACCTTCCCCCTCTCCCCCCACCTCCTTCCCCCCTCTTCCTACCCCTCCCCCTCCTTCCAGCATCACAGAGACCCCCCCCCAGCCAGCATAACTGCGACGACCCCCCCCCCTCCCAACATCCCCACCTCATCCCCCCTCACCATCACAGCCACACCCCCTCCCCCCCCCCTCACGATCACAGCCACTCCCCCCTCCCCCCCCCCTCACTAGCACCGCCACACCCCCCCCCCTCCATCCTCCCAAATCCGCTTAAAATCTCAATATTAGATGCTCTTTTCTGCTATGTTAAGTATTACTGAGAAAGAACTATGGATGAGACACACACATGTATCAACCACTACCTACGGAGTGCAGGAACCAACGGCCAACACCAACAGCCTGGGAAAGCATCTCCTGCAACTTGATATTGTCCAGTAACCTTTCAGAAACTATCAGAACAAACTTCGGCCAGAACCTTGACACATATCCCGCGGGCAGCTGTCAAAATCTCCAGCTTCCATAAATCTTGACAGCTTTCCTGAAATGATAGTACTTATAGTAACCAAATCGTTACCAAGTAGTAACCAAATAGTAATAGTTATCATATAGTAACCAAATAGTTACTATCAGTAACTATTTGGCCCGAAGCTCCAATATGTAGTAATGGGCCACCAGTCAACCACTTTGTGTACTATTAATTTTATTTAAAAAATACAAAAAAAAAATCTTATGTATTTCTAGGCTCAGTATATAGCATATATATTTACTATATTAGGCCAAAGATAGCGTATATTAGGCCAAGGGTTGCTAGAAGAGGTTTTAAGATAAGTCCCCATATTTATATCGCGGTTAAAACAGTTTCCAGTTTGTCTAAATTCAGTAACAGAACAATCAACTTACTGGTAGTTCATCATATAGATATTGGTACTGTCCATCAAATTCTTACGACAAGCACTTGCACATATAGCTGGACGAACTGGCTGAAAGAAGTATATGACTCCTCTGGAGTCAGCCAAGCATGGCTCAACCTCTGGCTGTTTGGTTGGCTAGAGCATGTCTAGGTTTGTTTAGGTCATGTCTAGGTCATGTCTAGATCATGTCTATGTCTGTTTAAGTCTGTCTAAATCATGTCTGGGTCTTCTTCCAGGGAGAGACAAACCGCTATAGAGTCTTCAGTAATTAATGCCATAAGCTAGTTTATCGGAGAAGACAGACAGACAGACAGACAGACAGACAGACAGACAGACAGACAGACAGACAGACAGACAGACAGACAAGTCCACCTTCTCCGTCCTCCCTCCAGCGGAGACCAGAAAGATTTACAACACCACATGCGAAACTTCCAAAATCAGAGCCACAAACACGCCTCAAGATACAACAAGCCAAACACCGTAGCTGCAATCCATCGCGAACAAGGCCACAGTTGCGTCGCGCGACACCGCCCCAGAACGCGCCTTAATAGTCCAACACCCGCCCACTGCTCGAAGGAATTTTTCCCTGGGTTGTGAAGGGCCGGCCCGGGGGCGGGGGGCTGATGCTGCTGCTCCCACCTTCATTGCTGACATCACAGATGATGAGGGGACCCCTGATGGAACCCCGTCGGGCCTTATCGACGCGTCTGGGATCCTCTAGGACGTAGGTTCGAGCCCACGTCAAGGGCCCCTTGTGGATTTGTTCATTTGATGCATCACGCTATTGGGATTTTTGTGTGTAATTGATTTCAAAATAACTGCCTACAACTTAGAAGAAAAACAGTACTCCTCGCTGGTCATTATTTCCCTTCGCGAATTCGTTCATGCGTACATGAGTGAGGTTGTTGTTGTTGTTGTTATAGATTCAGCTACTCGGAACAAGTTCCAAGTAGCACGGGCTATGGTGAGCCCGTAGTGTTAACAATTCTGGAGCGGAGGCATGAGAAGGATATAACATCATAGGAATAATGTCAATTCAAGGTCTGGTTGGTCCATACAAGGCAGCCCCTTATTTATATCCACCCATACTCACGCATGTATGTCTAATCTACGCTTGAAACAGTCCAGCGACCCCCACCACCCCGTGTATTATCATCTTACCCGGTAATTTCTTCCATAAATCAACATCCCTGTTCCCCAAGCCAGTATTTACCCAGGTCTTTCATGAATCTAAATTATCAGGGGAAAGTACCAAGCCATTACATCTGCTACTTTTACAAAAATTGCAGTACAACAGTTAATTCACCACAAACAGCATTACAAACGACTGTACTGTAACACAACAGTACAGCCACACACAGTATTTCTGTTAACACAAACAGCCACATACAGCACCACAAACAACAACAACAACAGCCACATTCCAGAGCGGGCACAGGGGTGGACACGCTGACGAAGAGGGTCGGGAACGAAGGTCACGATGTCGCAATACATAGTCCAGGGAGGAGGAGTGAGCGAGACACACTTTGCTGGAACCTGGGGTTCTTGTACCCTTTGTTGGAACCTGGGGTACTTGTACACTTTGCTGGAACCTGGGTACTTGTACCCTTTGCTGGAACCTGGGTACTTATACACTTTGCTGGAACCTGGGTACTTGTACCCTTTGCTGGAACCTGGGTACTTGTACACTTTGCTGGAACCTGGGTACTTGTACACTTTGCTGGAACCTGGGTACTTGTACCCTTTGCTGGAACCTGGGTACTTGTACACTTTGCTGGAACCTGGGTACTTGTACCCTTTGCTGGAACCTGGGTACTTGTGCCCTTTGCTGGAACCTGGGTACTTGTACCCTTTGCTGGAACCTGGGGTACTTGTACCCTTTGTTGGAACCTGGGTACTTGTACACTTTGCTGGAACCTGGGTACTTGTACCCTTTGCTGGAACCTGGGTACTTGTACACTTTGCTGGAACCTGGGTACTTGTACCCTTTGCTGGAACCTGGGGTACTTGTACCCTTTGTTGGAACCTGGGTACTTGTACACTTTGCTGGAACCTGGGTACTTGTACCCTTTGCTGGAACCTGGGTACTTGTACACTTTGCTGGAACCTGGGTACTTGTACACTTTGCTGGAACCTGGGTACTTGTACCCTTTGCTGGAACCTGGGTACTTGTACACTTTGCTGGAACCTGGGTACTTGTACCCTTTGCTGGAACCTGGGTACTTGTACCCTTTGCTGGAACCTGGGTACTTGTACCCTTTGCTGGAACCTGGGTACTCGTACCTCTTTGCTGGAACGTGGGGCACTTGTACCCTTTGCTGGAACCTGGGTACTTGTACCCTTTGCTGGAACCTGGGTACTTGTACACTTTGCTGGAACCTGGGTACTTGTACACTTTGCTGGAACCTGGGTACTTGTACACTTTGCTGGAACCTGGGTACTTGTACACTTTGCTGGAACCTGGGGTACTTGTACCCTTTGCTGGAACCTGGGTACTTGTACGCTTTGCTGGAACCTGGGTACTTGTACACTTTGCTGGAACCTGGGTACTCGTACCTCTTTGCTGGAACCTGGGTACTTGTACCCCTTTGCTGGAACCTGGGGGTACTTGTACCCTTTGCTGGAACCTGGGGGTACTTGTACCCTTTGCTGGAACCTGGGGGTACTTGTACCCTTTGCTGGAACCTGGGATACTCGAACCCTTTGCTAGAGCTTTATTAATACCCCTTTAGCAGAACCAGAGTACTGCTGCCCTCTGTGGGAAGCTGGACACTGTTACCCTTTGCGGGAACCGGGAACTGCTGCCCTTTGCTGAAACCGGGGTGTCCCCATATGGGTGTCGCCTTGACATATTGAGAGGGTCTTGTATACCTGCTTAGAGTGAGTGAGAGTGGCATTTGTTCCCCTTCCCTGCCTGCTGTGGTAGCATACCCACGAAATATACCCTGCGTGGTTTAGCCATTCGTGTATTTGCCGTGCATTGAGAGCCATACATATATATAGATCTCCCACTTTCCTTTCATCTGGATGTTGAGTTACAGCCCCGCTCCTGTGTCCGGTAAGTCCACTACGGGCTCACCATAGCCCGTGCTACTTGCCCCACTCTTGTGCCAGGTAAGTCCACTACGGGCTCACCATAGCCCGGGCTACTTGGAACTCTTTTGTTCCGTGTAGCTGAATCTTAAACAACAACATTCATCTGGGAGTTGATCTCACCCAGTGGCTGCGACCCGTGTGACATGCTTCTGTAGCGTAGGTATAGTGGGGAAAATAGGAGGATCGACGAGATTCAACTGGATCAGTTTAGTCAGGCCAGCAGGCCGGTTTGGACGTGGGTCAAGCGGGCATTGGTAGATTGGTATTCCTATCAGATGGTGGGTTGCTGCTCAGACATGTTCCACTATTTACAGGCATTTACTCATCTCCTTACCCACAGAGTTCGCCAAAGTGCGTATACCTTCCTAAGTAGTGTAACACATCAAATTGTTTGGCTGTGTGGTAATGGTATGATAGAATACATAGGAACTACAAGCATTCTGCCCCCAAGAGTGTAAACACTTATATGCTGTGTTGTCTATATTAACCTGCAATGTTAAGTGTGTTTTTCGTACTGTGGTTTGTGGATTTGTGCTCACTGGATTTGAGCGCCCCTTTAGGGACGTGAAGTAGAGGGGGGATAGAACTAGCCTAAGCTACTCTATCCCTCTGAGATGTATTTTATTGTCTCAATAAACGTACTTGAACACTTGAACTTCTACCTTCTCACTCGTGCGGTTGGCGAACAAGTCCACGAGTCGGGGTGTTCTAGAAAATCTGTTCTCGCTTTATTCAGGGACGGTGGGAGGATCTTCCTGCTGACTCTGTGGGTTCTACCGTGCTAAGCCCTGACATACTGCTGTCCTTAGTCACCCTATTGATTCTCTCCCTCTTCTTGGCATTTCTATGGCAACAGTAACGTCACTAAGAGTGCCCAACTGTTTGTTCCTGACGAGTTCCTCGGTGATCGTCACGATAACACCTCCCTCCACTACTGGCTTCTGCTTGGTCACCAGATATGTTATAGTTGGATAAGGCTAGCTTAGGCATTATTGTTCTCCCGTCACATCTCGCGGATGGAGGCAGGGATCTTCAAGATTGTCATTACCTGTTGTCCAGGTAAACACATTGACCCGTATTGGAAGTATTTGACAGTCTCACGTTCCTGACCTCGTTGATGTCAAATAGGTGTCAAATCTTTTGTCCGGGAGTCTGTCTACTCCCTGTGCTAATGCAGTACTTGGCAGAAGTTTGGCCATGGGGGGAGTCAACTTAAAGTAAATTGTTCTTTTGCCCCTTTTAAGAATGACTTCTCCCACGCTACTTGCAAGACTCAAGCTAGTTCAATGCATTAAGTGCTGTGGTGCCCACTTTGTGTTCACAAGACCTGTACTCAATATATAAGTGTTTTCTCGCCCTCAAGCACTACGACAACATCTATTCCCCCATTCTTTGGTCTCTCAATTCTTTTCATCTCACTCTCTCTCTCGATGACAAATCTAACGGAGCAAACTCTTTACTGCATTTGCTTCTACTCCTTATGCGTATGAAGTCTTCCTGTTTCTCCTTCATTTTACCCTGCGTGATGCTGCCCTTGACTCAATCCCGCACTACGAGAAAATGTGTTCCCTCAGTGAAATTCTGATTCTTACCTGAAGAGGGTCTCTGGAGTGCTTCTACTCCCCGAGCCCGGCCTGAGGTTAGGCCAGGATTGTGTTCGCGCTGTTTGCTGTTAAGTGCGCAGCCTGGAAGAGCATTGTCACTATCAGAGGAATTTTCCATTTTTGTTTTAAGAACGCCACTACTGAGACCCACGGGGTCATTCGTGTGGCTGAACAAGAGAGAGAGTGAGATGGTTACGTCTCCGCCATCAGCGTAAACACTTATCTTCCCTATATCTGGAAGAAGATTCAGAAGATTGCAGGTAAATTCGTTCGAGATATAGAGCTCACCCCTTCATCTTCACCGTTCTGTTATTGTCGAGAGCTTGTCAGTTGGAAATGAGCTTTGGTTCACACTTCTTTTTGGCCATTACCACCAGTCACTCATCTCCCTGAGTGCCTTACTTGTTAGCCCTGTGCTCAGTCACACCCTTTGGACTCTCGCAGGCTGCCTCGGTGCTCCATATGGGGATGGACTTGAACCCTCTGCTCCCCCTAATACTGTCTATGCTAGACTCTGGCTGCCCCGAATATTCATCCACTTTACCTAGACCATTCGTGTTCTTTACACTCCATACAGTGTATGGCTCAGCTCTGAACCCTTTCGTTCTTCACAACCTAGATCTTCTATGTTGAAAAAGGTGTTCCGCCCTGATCGCTGACGCCGGTGCTGCCTCAGAGACCTAACTCACATTTCTGGTCTGCCATTCAGGACGCAATCCGGAACCGCTGGAGAAGGAGGGAATTATGAATGGAAAGATCCGAGCCATTACGACTATATAGCACTGGGAAGGGGTCAGGATAAGGATTTGGGATGGGACGGGGGAGGGAAAGAAATGGTGCCCAAGCACTTGGACGGTCAGGGATTGAACGTCGACCTGCATGAAGCGAAACCGTCGCTATGAGAGAGAGGAGAGAGAGAGAGCGATAATTTGCTATTATATGAAAGATAAATGCTTGGTTATAGGAGTGTTAGAAGGTTAGCTATTATTTGAGTAATGGTTTCCTAGTATGTGAGAGATGGTTAACTATTGTGAACAAATGGCATAGGTTACCTTGAGGTGCTTCCGGGGCTTAGCGTCCCCGCGGTCCGGTCGTCAACCAGGCCTCCTTGGTTAAATGTCACCTTATCCATGTGGCTTTCTCTTGCAACCAAACACGAAGTGAGAAACGTCTCCGGCTATCTTGAGATGATTTCGGGGCTTTAGTGTCCCCGCGGCCCGGTCCTCGACCAGGCCTCACCACCAGGAAGCAGCCCGTGACAGCTGACTAACACCCAGGTACCTATTTTACTGCTAGGTAACAGGGGGCATCAGGGTGAAAGAAACTCTGCCCATCGTTTCTCTCCGGCGCCCGGGATCGAACCCGGGACCACAGGATCACGCGTCCAGTGTTCTGTCCGCTCAGCACCATCCCGTAGAACATCCTGAGTTTGAGGATGATAAAAATCATGCTTTCCCAATGTTTCTTCTAGTCGTTTGTCCCTTGATGATATCCTCGTGGAATGACGTTGATATCACTTGCCTTTTTCCTTTGCATCCTTAATGATATCTAGGAATTTTGTAATGTGTGTGACAGGCGGTGGTTAATAGGCTCCCATGCTTGGTGTCTTTGTTTGATAATTACTTGCTTGCTGGAGCCTGGATACTTTTTTATTGAAATCTGGGGCCAGATTCACGAAGCAGTTCCTCAAGCACTTACGAACCTGTACATCTTTTCTCAATCTTTGGCGGCTCTGTTTACAATTATTAAACAGTTAATGAGCTCCGAAGCACCAGGAGGCTGTTTATAACAATAACAACAGTTGATTGACAAGTTTTCACGTTTGTAAACTGTTTAATAAATGTAACCAAAGGTGTTAAAGATTGAGGAAAGATGTACACGTTCGTAAGTACTTGCGTAACTGCTTCGTGAATCTGGCCCCAGGCCCTTTGCTGTAGCCTGGATACATCTGTCCTCTGGTCATTATATCTTTTGTGATGCGTTTTATTGATCATTGAAATCTGATTACATCGATGACGCAGTGACGCAGTGGTGAAGCACTCACCCCGCGAGCGCTCTGGCTTGGGTTCGCATCCTGGCCTGGGGAGGATTAACAGGGCGCAAATCCTTAACTGCAGCCTCTGTTTACCTAGCAGTGAATGGGTACACCTGGTTGTTAAACGATTTAGCGGGTCGTAAGGATTAAGGACCTGCCCGAAACGCTACGCGTGTTAGTGGCTGTACAAGAATGTAACAACTCTTGTATAGGTATTGAAGAAAAACAAAAATATTTAGGTTCAAAACTGGATTCTCTTGAATCTCTTGAAGTCTTGCGCGCAGGTTTTAAACTGGATGAAGTGTGGTAAACGTGGGATGCCTCTTCTCGTGGCGGGATGGGATAGGATAGAACGGGATAGATGGGATAGGATGACTCTCAGAACTGGAATTGGTGGTTCGTGAAACCTGGTATATGTATGTGTTTTGTCTCCTAACTGAAGAGTTTTCTTAAAGGCCTGCAGTCGGGCGCTGGGATTACTGGCAGCTGTTGTAGAGGTGAGTCAATATTTGGATTTTGTTTTTTTGGGGAGTTCGAGGTGTTGTCTTAGTAAAGGGGGGTAGGGGGGGTTGTTGAGCTCTCTTCTGGGGTGGAGGCGAGCGGCTACGGGTTGTTATTGGTACCAGTTGGAAGTTTATATTTGGGACTTATTTTGATTTATTGATTTATTTCCAGTGTGGAGTTTTATGGACATAGACAGTAAGCTATGTTGGACGAGGTGGTTTCAGCCTAGATCTTGGTCGTTTCAGGGCTGCCCTTGATATTGATTTTAATTTTTGTTAAATTTGCCCCGAGGGGGGAGTTTATTGGGCAGCGTCGCTCATCTTGTGAGTGGACACACCACCATAGCAGCTTGTACAACACTCCCCAATAGGAAGAAAACCCGCTGGGTTGTTCATCCTGTCACTTGTACCCAGACACAGCTGGGACTTGCTTAACTATCTCAAGTGAACAGCTTCTCTAACAAGAAGATTAGCATTGCCAACCCTTAAAATCTTATGTTATCTTGAGATTGCAAAATGGGGGAATCTCTTAAGAACAGTATCAATATTTGACAAATAGTGTTTTCCTAACTCAAACAATGCGGGGTTTATTATTCTACACATATATTCCTAATGACTGTTAGATGTCCACACTCTCTCCGGTAGTGGTCAAGGCGGTGTCCGTCACTCTCATCACAGATTCTGCAACTCCGCTGCTCAACTGTTGTTTCCATTCCTAATCTCCATGGATATTAAGACGGATTATTGCTATTACCGATTCTCTCCCGCGGCCACCTCCTCTTCGTCCATAATGATTGGGATTGCCAGCTGCAACCATGTTGTACCATCGTACAGATTCACTGATTTGTTCTTCTATCCTCCTTTCCTCAGTAACCTTGTCACGGTGATATTGCCTGATGATACCTCTAATTTGTAGAAGAGTTCTTGGGTATGAAGTATTCCATATGGTCTCCTACAGCGCCTTCAGCAGCCAGCACATCTGCTCGTTCAGGTCCACAGATGCCAACACGGGAGGGGATCCACAGGAATTTGACGACTCTTCCCTGATTGGTTAATACTCTCACAACTCTCTCTTGATTTCAGCGACTATCGCAAGATTTTCTGCCCTCTAGAAGCTGTTGGGGCTGGCATAGGGCTCACACACACACACACAGCCACCAGTGAGCTGGTGACTGAGTGGACAGCGCTCTAGACTCGTGGACCTAGGGACCGGGATTCGATCCCCGACACCGGCGGAAAAAAACAAATGGGCAGAGTTTCCTTTCACCTTAATGCCCCCTGTTACCTAGCAGTAAATAGGTACCTGGGAGTTAGACAGCTGCTACGGGCTGCTTCTTGGGGGTGTGACAAAAAAATTAGTGGTTAGTAACAGTTGATTAACAGTTGAGAGGCGGGCCGAAAGAGCAGAGCTCTACCCCCCTCAAGCACAACTAGGTGAATTACACACACACACACACACACACACACACACACACACACACACACACACACACACACACACACACACACACACACACACACACACACACACACGTGTTCAACGAATTCCTGTCTCTACCATCTTCTCCTCCACCTCTTACCCTCTTTTACATATACATGCTGGTTAGCATTGTAAATGTCTGGCCACGTCTGTGGTAGAAAAATAATAAAAAAAACTTTTTCTCCTTTCTACAGCAATTTTTTCTCTCTTATCTCCAAGTCCTTCTCCCTCACCTCTCTCCCCCACCTCTCCCTCACCTCTCCCCCCCCACCTCTCCCTCACCTCTCCCTCACCTCTCCCTCACCTCTCCCCTACCTCTCCCCCCCACCTCTCCCTCACCTCTCCCCCACCTCTCCCTCACCTCTCCCCCGCATCTCCCTCACCTCTCCCCCACCTCTCCCCCACCTCTCCCCCACCTCTCCCCCGCATCTCCCTCACCTCTCCCCCACCTCTCCCCCACCTCTCCCCCACCTCTCCCCCATTCCTCCCATTATCTGCCCTGACTTAGAGAAGATGACCTTGGAGTAATTTTATTCAGCGTTCACTGCTGCTCTTTTGTTCAGAGTGGGAAGTGGACCGGAGCGCTCCTGTCCCACGGCCTTGGCCAGGGCACGGAGGTGGATGGAAGGGGGGAGGGAGGGAGGAAGGGTTGGTGGGAGGGAGGGAGAGAGGAAGGGTTGGTGGGAGGGAGGGAGAGAGGAAGGAAGGAAGGAAGGAAGGAAGGAAGGAAGGGTGTTGGCATAAGACTGACAGAGGCTCACCTCAACGGCTGTATACACAGCTTCAAGGTTGTCGGGAGAAGCCGACTGGACACGTACAAGGGTGACACGTCCAGAGGTGACACGTCCAGAGGTGACACGTCCAGAGGTGACACGTCCAGAGGTGACACGTCCAGAGGTGACACGTCCAGAGATGACACTTCCAGAGGTGACACGTCCAGAGGTGACACTTCCAGAGGTGACACGTCCAGAGGTGACACGTCCAGAGGTGACACTTCCAGAGGTGACACGTCCAGAGGTGACACTTCCAGAGGTGACACGTCCAGAGGTGACACTTCCAGAGGTGACACGTCCAGAGGTGACACGTCCAGAGATGACACGTCCAGAGATGACACGCACAAGGGGTGACACGCACACACACGAAACTCGTACAGGAGTAACATTGAGACACGTAAATATCGGCACGGATCGCGAGGCAGAGAGAAGGAGGTGACAAGTATACGGTGACACGTACACGCTTCTCGGAGACAAGGGCGTGGGCCACGGACCACGTAAAAGTTGACGCGAAGCACAGGGAAGTGACGAGTATATAGTGACACGTACATTTCCCTTTAGGAGTTCGGCGAAGACTGCTGTGGCCGTGTCACGGAGGAAGGGGGGGGGGAGAGGACGCCACGGAAAATAGTGACACGGTTTGTCTTTGAAAATGGTGAAAACTACGTGAATGTGAGAAGGAAGTGACACGTATTAGAGTGACACGGACCTCACCTGGGAGTGAAAGAGTGACACGGCCCTCACCTGGGAGTGAAGGAGTGACACGGACCTCACCTGGGAGTGAAAGAGTGACACGGCCCTCACCTGGGAGTGAAGGAGTGACACGGACCTAACCTGGGAGTGAAAGAGTGACACGGACCTCACCTGGGAGTGAAAGAGTGACACGGACCTCACCTGGGAGTGAAAGAGTGACACGGACCTCACCTGGGAGTGAAAGAGTGACACGGACCTCACCTGGGAGTGAAAGAGTGACACGGACCTCACCTGGGAGTGAAGGAGTGACACGGACCTCACCTGGGAGTGAAGGAGTGACACGGACCTCACCTGGGAGTGAAGGAGTGACACGGCCCTCACCTGGGAGTGAAAGAGTAACACGGCCCTCACCTGGGAGTGAAGGAGTGACACGGACCTCACCTGGGAGTGAAAGAGTGACACGGACCTCACCTGGGAGTGAAGGAGTGACACGGACCTCACCTGGGAGTGAAGGAGTGACACGGACCTCACCTGGGAGTGAAAGAGTGACACGGACCTCACCTGGGAGTGAAGGAGTGACACGGACCTCACCTGGGAGTGAAAGAGTGACACGGACCTCACCTGGGAGTGAAGGAGTGACACGGACCTCACCTGGGAGTGAAGGAGTGACACGGACCTCACCTGGGAGTGAAGGAGTGACACGGACCTCACCTGGGAGTGAAAGAGTGACACGGACCTCACCTGGGAGTGAAGGAGTGACACGGACCTCACCTGGGAGTGAAGGAGTGACACGGACCTCACCTGGGAGTGAAGGAGTGACACGGACCTCACCTGGGAGTGAAGGAGTGACACGGAGACATCGTCTGAGGGATTAACAAGCACCTTCCCAAGCGGTTTACACAGAGTTCTTAGACAAAAGCCCACTTAAAGAGTTTTTTTGTTTTTACAAGTCAATTTACAAAGTTTTTTACAAGTCGTCTTGAAGAGGTTTTTTTTTGTTCTGCTACAGAAGCACTTCCTAGTTCATTTACAAGTGCTTGATTCTTTCCCAGGCGGAGTGTGGGTGACCTTGAGAGTGCTTGTGGTGGAATGCTGGGGTAGTGGGGGGGAGGGGGGAGGGAAGGGGAGGGGGGTTGTGGACACCCATCCCCCCCTTCCTTCCCATCTCCCCCCTCTCCCTTCTCTTCCAGCCCTAATCTCCTCATCTAAACCGTTCTCTTCATACCTGCGACTCCTTTCTTTTTCTTCTGCCTCTCCTTCCTGGTTTCTTCCATCTCTTCTCTTCCTCCTCTTTCCCTCCTCCTTCCCTCCTTCACCTTCGTGTTTCCTGCACCCCCCCCCCCCCTCCTCATCTTAATTCCTCCTCTCTTCCACCTCAGTCCTTTTCTTTCTATCCTTCTTCGCTCGTATCCCTCTTGTCTCCTAGCTCTCTTTCCTCCTATAGCCCCCTTCTTCCTAGCGCCTCCTTCCCTCTAAGAACACCAGAACATATGAAGGAAACTGCAGAAGTCCTATATTAGCCTATACGTGGCAGCTGCAAATTTATATCCACCCAAACTCACTCATATATCCACTCAAACTCACATATATATATATATATATATATATATATATATATATATATATATATATATATATATATATATGTCTAACCTATGTTTGAAACAACCAAGGGATCTGTTATGTTATGCGGTAATTGGTTCCCCAAATCCGACAACTCTGTTACCGAACCATTATTTACCCCAGGCCCTAGCCCCCCCCCTCCCCCTTACCCCCCCCCCCTTCCTCCATGTTCCAGCCACCCTCCCCCCTTCCCAGGAGAGGGAGAGACAAGCGATCTAAGGACAAGTGAAGGGGTGACTAAGGGGTTCTTGACTCTGGCCTGGATCTCTAGTGTGTGCACAAGCAAGGGAAAGTGAACAGCAAGCTGAGGGAGAAAAACACACTCGCACACAAACACAAGTCACTGAAACGGTGACAAACAAGACATTCACACACACACACACATACACACACACACACACACACACACACACACACACACACACACACACACACACACACACACACCACACACTTATGATAATTCTCAGAGGAATTGACAGGATAAATAAAGATAAACTGTTTAACGCTGGTGGTACACGAACAAGGGGACACAGGTGGAAGCTGAGTACCCCAATGAGCCACAGGGACGTTAGAAAGAACTTTTTCAGTGTCAGAGTAGTTAGTAAATGGAATGCATTAAGAAGTCATGTAGTGGAGGCTGACTCCATACACAGTTTGAAATGTAGATATGATAGAGCCCAATAGGCTCAGGAACCTGTACACCAGTTAATTGACGGTTGAGAGGCGGGACCAAAGAGCCAAAGCTCAACCCCTCACAAACACAACTAGGTGAGTGCATCCCACAAAGCACCACTAACCAATCCCACGTTTCGTTAGTGCTCGTTAGTCTTACAATCCTGAAAAATCTACGCTGCAGAAAAACACTGTTGAAAACAAATATTGAACCCAAAAACAAATTAAACCAATATAAAAAATGAACTTAAAAACAAAAATCTAACATAAAAAATGAACTTAAAAACAAAAATCTAACATAAAAAAATGAACTTAAAAACAAAAATCTAACATAAAAAAATGAACTTAAAAACAAAAATCTAACAAAAAAATGAACTTAAAAACAAAAATCTAACAAAAAATGAACTTAAAAACAAAAATCTAACACAAAAAATGAACTTAAAAACAAAAATCTAACATAAAAAAACAACAAAAATCGAAAAACAAACAAAAATATAAAAAAAAACAGAAAGAACACACACAAAAAAATATTTAACATAAAAATCGAACACATAATAAAAACCAACACAAAAACTCAAATAAAAAACAAACAAACATCGAACACAACAAAAAAAAAACACACAATAACCCCCCAAAAAATCCCTATTGCCACTTTCACTTCTTCCAAGACATGTATAGAGCACAAAGAGCATCTGAGATGACGACGACACCCCCCACCACCTCCCCACCCAGGGGGCGCTCTGGACGGGGGTGTGTCACTCTTTGGACTGTTCCCTGTTTCCTTAACAGAAGGGGGGGGAAACAGGGTTTGGGAAGGACGCCTTGTGGTGGTTGGGGGGAGGGGGGGGTGGTAGATGGGGTAGTAGGGGGTAGTAGATGTGGTGGGGTGGGGGTTGGGGGGCAGGGGGGGGTGGTGGTAGTAGATTGTTGAGCTCTATCACTGCTCAATCTGTCACAACTTCACATAATTTATCCCAAGCACAGAAAAAATTACGAGATACAAATCTGTTTCTTTGTTTTTTTTTCCTGTTTTCCTTGTGTTCAGCAGGTGTGGTGTGTCGGGGGTGTTGTGCTGGTGTGTGTGTGTGTGTGTACTTACGTAGGTGTACTCGTGTGTGTTGAGCTACAGCTACTGGGTCCCGACTTTGAGCCTTGTGTAGACTCGTATGTAGTGTGTGTCTGGGTTTTCTAGTTCATTTAATTTTTTTTTTTTTTAGTATTCTGAGTTTCAGATTTTTCTGCATCCTTGTGGTTCACAAGGATGTGAACCTGTGATGTGATGTGGATGTGATCTTATATGCAGTGATCATGTCACCCCCCTTAACTCTTGTGTCTTCCAGCGACGTGAGGTTTAGTTCCTGTAGTCTCTCCTCGTAGCTCATACCTCTCAGCTCGGGTACTAGTCTGGTGGGATACCTCTGAACCTTTTCCAATTTAGTCTTGTGCTTGACAAGATACGGACTCCATGCTGGAGCTGCATACTCCAGAATTGGTCTGACATATGTGACATACAAGGTTCTGAATGATTCCTCAAACAAGTTTCTAAAAGCTGTTCTTATGTTAGCCAACCTGGCATATGCCGCTGATGTTAT